ATTCAGATTCACTCCATAGGATCTGTTTCTCCCCTTTCCCTTCCATAAGAATGGCTTCTTGACTGCCACCCTTCCACTGAGACCATGTCTGATGAGGCTTCTGTGAACAGTAGATGGAACAACTGATGCACCACAGAAGCATCTCTTACACCCTGTGTCAGCTCTCTGATTTGTTCTTCTATTTCTTCATGACATGACTTACATAGACTGTTCATCTGCTGTAGATACTTTACCACTTTTTTTGTCCGCCAACTGTCCAGTTTACTCAAATGTTTTAAGAACATACTGCACACCATGCTAAGAAAAGCCAAAGGTTTGGCATGTTTTTGGCAGTCACCATGTTGGCACGTTTTTACCTTTGGCATTTTCATTGATTCAACTAAAAAAATTGAAACAAATGATGCGTTTTTGCCTCACACTGCTAGTAACAAAGCGCCCAAAGATTCAATTTAACATTGGTACTTTACTATGGTGTCTGTTATGTGTAGACAAAACGCTGGTTCATCCCTCGAGTTAGGTGCCTTTTAAAGCTTGTCTCATAGGTCAGCTTTAAGTGGCTTAACAAACCTCTCAGAGGAAAACCTTCCCTAAAAAAGGTCAGGTACAAGGACTGAAAATGAGTAAAAACAAAAGCAGCCAATGCACAAAGAAAAATGTCAAAAAAAGCTTCAGAAAAGCTGAAGCTCAAGGCTTCAGCGTTGGAAAAATTGTTGCTCAAGGCAACCTAGAAGAATTATAAAAAAGTCAGGCTCATTGGAAGCAAAATATAAAGAAATAAAGGGTGGCTCCAGACTTTTGCACAGTACTGCAGTTCACGGAGTTTCTGTATCCCAGTTTGAATAATGACACAGAAACAGCTTTCTATGCAAGACTTAACTTGTTACAGAGTTTATATTGTGTATCCGTGTCACACTACAATAATCAGGAAATCTGATTTTCATATCTTTATCTCAACAAACTATTTCCACACGGTAAACATGGCAACCACCTCAAAATGACACAGCCGTACCTCCCTGAGAAGGCGGACTTGTTTCTTCCTGTTGTCTGTTCTCCAGCTCCACAGTTTTCAGGTAAAGCTGGAGCAATTCCTTGGATTGCCGCTCCTGCTCTCTTCGATCCAAAACCCTCTGCAGCGTCTCCTGGAGATCTTGGGCCTTTTTCTCTTGGAAGCCCAAAGCCGAGGCTAGTTCAGGGCATGGGGCATCCACTAAGGTCTGAAAAAGCAAAGCAAAACAATAAAATACAATTTGCGGCTCCTATTTTTAGATTGATTAACACAGTTATCACTTTCTTATACTTGACATATAATGTTGGTACCTGTAGGTCCGCCTCAGACATGAGAATAATGGTAGTCAGGTCCTGCTTCAGCTGCTGAGCCAGTTCATACCAAGGTGCTACAGTACTGGAGCTGTCCACAGTATCAGTCTCCAGCATCACAGAATCCCTAGCCATCCAAGCTGTGCCACCATCAACTAAAAAGTAAATATCAAATTAACACAAGGTGGTGCATTCCCGGGATATTAATGATTGATGATAAAAAGGATGCAGAAAAATGTCAGATAAAAGTAAACCTGCTTACTCCTGCAAGGTGGAGACCACCTCTCTTTGTCATTCAATAGCATGAATTTTGTGTTTGAGGGTAAACACAAAAAGTAAGCCTGATCTTCTACTACTGTCCCATCATTCTCTAGGACCACTGTGACTGAGTCACTGGAGTTGAACCCAAGACACTGTCGACCTGTTAAAAGAACAGAGAAACTACAAATATTATAGAGTGTCCCAGATTATTTTTATACTTCAAAGTGTTTAGCCATATGGTTGTATCCATCCAGCCGATTCAATATCCCAGCTGACTGTTGTGGAAAGAGGTGGCCGCAAGTCCAGTTTAGCATAACAAATTAACCTCACATGCGTGTCTGTGGACTGCGGGGGGGAACCAGCAAATCCAACACAGATCCTTCTCTCTGTGAGGCGACAGTGCCGCCCATATTTCAGAGGAAAACAATCAGTATTAGTGTATCCCATAAGCCAAATATTCAAAGCAGTAATACCTCAGACACCACCTGTTCATCAGGTGATTCAGCATACTTCCACATGTCAAACAAGTCAGTCCATTTAAAGAGTCATCAGCCCTTTCATCAGAGCTGCTCCTATTTGCAATACAAAACATGTCTTACTTCCACTCGCTTTTAAAATTGTACAGCTATAAATCAGCACCTCTAGTTTAATAGTGCCCCAGCTCAATATTTCATAAACAAGTATTTATTTATGTATATTGAATAGGAATAAAGGCAATTTATAACTTTAAGATAGCTTCAAAACCAAGAGGGGGGGTTTTCAGATAGCATCCTAGTTTTGTCACTGGCAGTTACAGGAGACTTTATCAGAATCAGAAATACACTTCTAGTATCTTCATGTAGGTGGCTTCAAAATCAAGGACCCAGCCTGACCTCCTCCAAACTCTGCTGACACATAACAATCAAAGACGTAGAAACACTTTTATTAAAAACCTTTTTTTTTTATTAAAAAGAGAAAAATGCAAAAAAGAAAAAGAAAAAAAAAGTCTGGGGGTAACGCCTGGTGACTAGCCTTCTAGGAATGAGCAGGAAGAGCAATGACTTTTCATGTTTAGCTTCTGCAAGTTTAAACACGATGGATAAAAATGGTGATGCTGCTTCTGCTGCCACACACGACTAGATAAGTAAGCTTGTCGACAGCAATAGCAATAATCACCTCAGTTGTAATGTTAGTGCCTCCCAACACTCTCACAAATCACTGAACATATGAAGTTCTTTCACTTTCGCAATATGAGACCCCGCTTTTAGCGCTCAGCACCAGTGCAAACTAAACATTTAAATACTGCACCCACAACGTTTGACTGCGTGAGACGGTACTTCGGGTAACTGTCACACACCCGTTCAACATTAATGAATACATAGCTTTTATTAAAAAGAAACTCTAGCATGATAAAGTTCAGGAATGTAAAGTCATGACAACTTACCTTTTTTCTTAAGCTCATCTATGGAAAGAGCTACTAGCCCATGCGTTTGTTGTCGTGTGAAATTGCACACCTTACACGGTTTATCCGTCATTGTAGTCTGCGTTTAGAGAAGCAGATTTTGTGCTTTCTTATACCTTAATACTGACAGTTATCGTCAGCAGCTATCAACTGCTACCACTATCCCCGAATACGGAACTGCCGCCGTGCCGCTATGGCATCTGGGATATGTAGTTTAGCACATACATAGAAAGAACTGCCTTTGTGTTTACAGTTTGAATATAACGCTATAACCTCTACAGCGTTAATTTGAGTGTATTTTAAAAACATCTTTTATTAACTATTTTCAAGCTCTAGACATAAGAAATATGAGAATAATAACATGTCCTTCCGAGCTCCTGTTAAAAAGCTCAAAGGTGGACTACCGCAAATGACCGCTAGATGGCGACCAAAGAAAGTCTGGCCTGACAGTGGAGTTCAGTTCTTTCTTTTTTGTTTTTCTTTCTTAAATGCATTTGGTTGGTTAATTGCGTGGTGAGAATAAATAGCTAGGGAGTAGGTGGAAGAGAGCCTGGAGAGGTGGAGGTATGGTCTGGAGAGAAGGGGAATGAAAGTCAGTAGAATCAAAGAATGCGTATTTGTGTAACAGTGAAACCAGGAGTACAGATACTGAAAAGTGGGTGGGTTTAAATAGTTTAAATACCTAGGTTCAGCCATCCAAAGCAGACAGTACAGGCAGAGTGGAGCGGGTGGAGATGATTATCAGGGGTGATTTGTGACAGATGGATAGCAACAGCAGTGAAAGTAATGGTTTATAAGATGGTACTGAGACCTGTATGGTTTGGAGACTGGCACTGACACACACACACACACACACACACACACACAAAGGAGGCTGAGCTGAAGGTAGCAAAATGTTGATGAAGATGAAGATGTTAAAATTTTCATTACGATTGACCAGAAATTAAAAATCAGAAACTAGAAGTTAGAAATGAGTAGATCATAGGGACAGCTCAAGTTGAGCAGTTTGAAGACAAAGTTAGAGAGGCAAGGCTGAGATGGTTTGGACATGTGCAGAGGAGGAGAAGTAGATATACTGGACAAAGGATGCTGAATATGGAGCTGCCAGGCAAGAGGAAAAGAAAAGAATCAGAGAGGAGGTTCTTGGATGTAGTGAAAGAGGACATGCAGAGGGTTGTGTGACAGAAGTGATGCTAAGGATGGGATGAAATGGAGGCAGATGATCCGCTGTGGCAACCCCTAAAGAGAGTAGTTGAGAGAGAAAAGAAGACTGCTTTATATGGTTCGAAAATGCACCACTTACATCACCTGAAACAATCATTTTAATACTGTAAGTCTAGCATTTAGTGGTCTAACCTTTAGGGGGTTGCTGTAGCAAATGACTTTATAGTTTTATTTATTTATTTATATTATTTATGAACTACTGTAAATAAATAGTATCTTCTTGCTGTGAATTCATTAAGTATTATGGTTTCTGAAGGGGCCCTGGGCAAAGACATATTAAGCTATTATCTGGTGGCTGAATGCAAATCCGTTTCAACAAGTAGGGACTTACCACACCTCGTGACTAAGCTTGGCTTTGTTGTATAGATTTTTTTCTTGTTCTTTAGGCACAAGGGTGTGTTCAGCTGAGGAAATGATGAAGCTGACATTAAGTCTAAAAGTAGAACAGGCTCTAATATGACAAAAACAAAACAAACAGACAAATAAAAACAATTTACAAAAGAGAAGTTTTCTTGGCAATGAAAGAAAGACATTCATCAACATTGACCATGGAGAAGTCTCAGTATAAGATCTACTGAAGGTGTGTGAGCATGAGAATGTGCTATGGGGAAGCTAAAACTTAACTTGGTGTGCTTTTAAATTGTAGCGTTTTAATAACAGACAGTAAGAATAGTGAGTGATACTTTGGAGTTAGACTTATCCTGCAGTGTCCCTTACTCACCTGCAGGAGGCAGTAGTGCATCCTAAAGCATGTTGCGTGGTAGAAATATACCAGAATAAGAAGTGTGGCAGAAGGAACAGAAGAAGAAGATGGCATCCAACGACCAATCTGAGGCAATAACACAGGTCTCTATATGCATTAAAAGCGGTTTCTTTTTAATGTCCATTTGCGGTAGTGAACTGTTTTAGATATTTCGAGGCCTTAGATGTCTTAACGTTGGCATCACGTGCCTGGAAAGGCTCATCAAGTTAGAGATTAGCATGCCTGCTAGTTAGCATGCTAGCTAGGTTTCGAGGCAAAAGTTGTCACTGAGACATGAGTGTGTTTACAAGTGGGCAGGAAGGGGCGTCATTTAGAGTTGCCATATTGTGTCGAAAATAATATGGCATAGTTACTATATTTGCCATTGTCATCAAACGGTACAGCTGTACAATTGCATCTGAGCGTGTAGCCTCGTCTTACTGTGTGCAGATAACTGTAGGTGCAACTCAAAGGTCAGTGTAGGTCAATAAACCTGATGGTCTCTGTTGGGTTGCAGTCACAGTGTTATCTTTGAACTCACCAGCCCCCCAAAACAAATGTCATCGAACGTTTTTATTCATGTATGTCACCAGTGACAACTTTACTTTTTGCATATATGTTTATATATGCTGTAGAGAAATGCAAAATATTTTTATGTACAGAGATGCTTAGTTACATTAAACACCTTAAATACATTTTTATTGTTTTTAAAATTCTCTAAACAGTAACTGTAGCTCAGGAGGTAGAGAGGGTCATCTACTAATTGTAGGCATACAGACTGTTGCTCAATTGTGCTTGCCCAAGTATCCTTAAGCAATTTCCTAACCCAAGTTGCTTTCTAATGTGTTCATCAGAGTGTGTGTGAATGTTCCATAGAAAGTGCTAAGGCCTAGAAAAAAAGTGTTTGTATGAATGGGCAAATGAAGTGCTTTGAGTGCTCACATAGAAAATGGTAAATGGCCTGTATTTGTATAGCGCTTTACTTAGTCCCTAAGGACCCCAAAGTGCTTTACACTACATTCAGTCATCCAGCCATTCACAAACACATTCACACACTGGTGATGGCAAGCTACAAAAGCACTAAATAAGAACCAGTCCATTTATGTCATTAATGTTTTCTTACCCAATCTTGTGGAAATGAAAAATAGCCTTTTTAAATTTATTTATTTTCCTGCCGATAGAACAAAATCTGTCCACATTCTACTACAAGCACTGCTCCATAAACGTCACAGTGAAATGGATACCCTTCAGTTTCCACAATCAATTTATTTGTGTTGTGAATTTTCCCTTGTTCACAATTTCTACAGCTTCCCATCTGTTACTGTACATAGGGAAATGTTTATGGAGTACAGCATGAAGCTAAACTCTTCACCATGATGAGAACAGGTTAAAAAACTTCTGAGTTATGACAGTAGTTGACGTTTGACAAAAGCTAACAGGAAGTTAGGTAGGTAGGTAGTTTGATGCTTGCAACTGTTTCTAGAACTCTTTCTTCTCTGTTTATTACATACCTGCAGAATCATACAGCAGCACAATTCATCCAAAAGCTTTTCAAATGCACGAGAGTTGCTCACATTTATGTACCTGACACCACAGAAGTAACTTCAGTCACAGTAAATTATCCCCAAAATTCAGGCAGTTTTGATCAGGATCTAGCAACAGATAACACTGTGTTCTGTACTTCACACAGGCTCTGACAGGGTTCAGTCTCTAGCTAATGGGGATCCTAATAAACTGAGCAATTTTTAAGTGTAAGAGTTGCCTGATCAGTTGGCAGAAATGTGCCAAGTGTGAAAGAGTGCTCAAGCACTTTGTATAAATGTTGTTGATATGCCTGAATGAAGCCTTGAGGCCTAGTATTGTAAAAGTGTCCCATACCTGAATAACCGAATACTGTCACTTCAACAGATAAAGCCAGCAATGTTACATACCCTGTGCTTGTAAAGGGCGACCATAGTTACCAAGCTTCAAAGCGACATTACTTCTGTTTTCCACTAGATGGCACTCTAATACAAATGTTTGTTTATGTTCTCAGCCTGGCCTTCTGCCTGGAAAAGATGGAGCACGTAGCCCCAGAGAAGAACTGGTAAGAATTTATTCCTTAATCTGAATTACATGAATTATTGGTAAGGAAACATTGACTGTAACCACAAAAACATTAAATGAAGCTAATGTAAGTGAGAGCTGGAAAGAAATAGCATCTTGGATCAAACGATGCAAATATTAAATTACATTTCCTGTAAAGAAAACAAAAAGCAATGAATAAGGTATCATAATGGCTGGAAATAATATTTCAGATATTCTCACATGGCACACGCTGTGATTCTTAATACTAGTGCTCAGAAGTGTGGATTTTTCAAAAACTCAAGTATTCGTGGGATTTTGAAAGAATGAAAATCTTCTAATTTCTTGGCTTGATCTGGTGATGCATAGTTGAGGAAGATTATGATGGTTTTTCTCTCCCCCCCACCTTAAGATCTGATAATTTAAAGACTTTTATTTGGCTGTATTACACATTCCCCAGGGAGATCCAGTATTAAAGGCTTCCAATTAGCAGACAGTCACTTTATACATCACAATGATGTCCCCAAGCTGTAATGAGAGTATACTTTATGTTCTTGGTCTTTAGAGAGGAAAATGGTCTATTTTAACAGCAGCAATGGGTTCCACAGTTTCTTTAATCATGCATAGCATAAAACTTTGACTGCACATCTTTGTTGTTCTTTGTTTATCCTTTTAGTCTGTGTCAGAAATGGGTCAGGAAAGTTGCTAATTTGGAGTTTCTTCACCATGTAGACTCCTATGCAAACACAAAGGGCACTTGAAGGTGTTGTTCCGTCAAAAAGGTGTTATAAGGTGGTGTTTAACAAGAATAAATGTCAGTTTTTCTCTTCAGTAATGTGCAGAGTGTTTATAAGGCATGCTTGGCCCAAGCGATGACTATAACCAGGAATGTTTGGTAATTGCTAAGTGGGATGGAATCCATCCCAGGTACACTCACTGTCCTTGTATAGGCACAGCATGCAGGTTATAGACGCGCTGTATTGTTCAGCCTACATGTCTCAATGTCATTCACCACCATTCACTCTTCATCTTCCCCCCATCATCCCTTCATGCCAAGGCTAATTTAATCCTGGGGTTATTGATTGTGGGAGCATTCTCCCAGGCTTTCTTTCAATTTACTTCAATTTCATCATCCCAGTGCGCTTCAAGACTGTCTCCTCAAAAAAGGGAAGAAATTCTTGTTATGAGGATTTCGAGACCGGTTGACAAGTCCCACCACCACCCTCACTTCCAACCCCTTTTCTCCTTTCTCTTTTTGATGAGCTGCTCTTTCCCAGTTAAGTGGATTATTACAGTAGGGATAATTCTTGTCACATGGCATTATTTGGATGAGGTGAATAATTGAAATTTGTGTCTGAAAGGATTTTATCTGGATGAGAGGAAAGGGAGTGCTGGCAGGGTTGGAAGGGCAGGAAAGAAGGAAAAGCAGTCTCTCTCTCTCTCACTCACTCACACTCACACACACACATTTGCATAACATCTATGTGCACATGTGCATGTCAGACTGGGGACACCAGTCATGTTAACAGGTTCTGACTCACCTCGCCCAGATCAGCAGGCCCTGGCACACTGCACGGCGTGGACCCTCCTCAGTGGCAGGAGGGTCCAGCTCAGGGGTCGGTGCCACAGCCTCTGCCACTATACCAGGCCAGACAGGGATATCTGGACCTGCAGGTTAGAGCGAGAAGAAGGGGTGGGAGAGCCCGCGTGAGTGTGTGTTTCATGGTTGACTGGTATACCAGTCGCTGCCAGCCGCTGCTATTGCCTCTGGCACTGCTGTTTGCTCACTCTTACCCCGACTACCTCCATCTCAAATCCCCACCCCCTCCCACTCATCCCTGCCATGACCATTACCCCAGCCAGTCTATTACTAGTCTTTCCCCAGTCTCTGTGCTCTCTCTCCCTGTAGTGACACCCTGCGCTTACCCCTCATCTCCTTCAGACACTGTCTCTGACTGCCTTTAAAATCACCCAAACACATGACGATGCTATTAATGAGCAAAAATTCCACTGACCAAATGAGAATATAGGAAGGAATTGGCAAATATATTGGCTTAATATAGATATTTTGACAGGTTAACCAGATCTATTGGAATAAAATTAAAAGTCACTTCATCAAAATAAGCTGCATTATAGTTTTTATGCATTTATATTTTAAAATGTTTACATTTCTTTTCTCCTGTTAGAAACTATATGATATGAAAGAACAGTTAGGATGAATTTGGCTTTGTACTTGTGTACTTTAAAGGTACATTTCTTTTTTAAAAGTTTATTAATTATTGTCCTGAATAATAAAGTTAAAGTTGTATATTTCTTATTAGAATTCCTGCTCCTTAATTTCCTTTGAGCCGATTAACTCGGAACTCTTTGGAAATACTCTCACTACCTCGGATCACAAACTAAAGGGTCATGTGTCATCGCTAAATGCAATTCTTACAGATTTAGGTTACCGTTTACCCCGTTCTTTACTCTTTGCACTGAAAAAAAAAAATCCAACCTCAGTTTAAGAAGTGCATATTTGTTTGTGGGTATGAAAGCGTGTGGTTTTTTGTTTGCAGTAGGTGCTTCTGTACCCTTTGCACATGTAGACACAGATAGTGTGAACTGGGCGTGTTTTATGTGTTTAGGTTTGGGGATTTTAGTACAGCAGAGGGAGGGGGAAAAGAACGGTAAGAAGAACATCCCCGGTCTCACAGCAACTTCAAAAGCTCTCCTTCCCCAGGATATTAAGCGACTGTGATGAAAAATTTAGCAAGCGTTAAATAAGCCGCTTTGAAGTGATCTGTTTTGGCTCAGCAGTCTCCAAATTTCCGTAGCCCCTCTGCAATAGCCATCTCGCTACAGAGAGGGAATAAAAGGAACAGTGTGTTAAGTGCAGAAGTTGTGGGGGACCTGGCTGGCTGGCAGAGGACCTGCCAACAGTAATTGGTGTGGCCAAAGACATGAAGGAACCACTGCTGTCGCTGTCCCCTTTTGTTGTTCTCTGGATCGTTCTCTCCTCATTTCACCTCTCCCTTCCCTGATGGGTCTTTTGCTGAGTCCCGTGAGTTGCAGGCAGACAGATGTTGCTCATATGTTTGAGGGTTTTTTTTCCTCACATGTGCGTGGGTGTAGCACAAATGTAACACAGTGGTGATACCAGGAAGTCAGAGGTTACTCTCGGGTCTTGACTCAGTTATTTTTTGCCCTCAATGACTTTTCCCATGGAACATGTGTTTAAAGGAGATGTCTCCTTTTAATATCAGTTTACCCTAAATATGCATGTATGTGAGTGAGTGTAGAAATCTTTTGAAGATTTCTACAAATTAACCTAAAACTGTACATACAGTAGATTTTTTTTTTTACACTTCAGCCACCATAAAGCAAAGAATAACAAGAAGAGAATCTCTAATTTGACAATCATATTTCAATTCATTTCACATCCATCACTCTTAAAGCTATTATTTAAATTTTTTTTCCACAACTCCAGGTTTCAACATGCTCCAAATTAATTATTGGGGCAGAATAAGAAATGGGAGCCAGTAATGAGCCTGCTATAGTAACTCCATTCTGTCAAGGAACTAGGCTACCATTTAGTTAGTCAAGGGATCCTTCTTTGAGATTTTCCTTTTTTCCTCTTTGCTCATTACTTTAATTGTAATTGTAATCCTTTATTGGAGCTGTCTGCAGTAAAGGAGAGTTATGGTCCGAGTGGGGGCGCGAGCCATAGAGATATTTCATGATTATTGGGGAAGACGGTCACTAGGTGGCAGCCACTAGTTCGGCCTTGGTGTAATTACTGAGTGGGAAGTGATGGCAAGATATTCTGTGGGTGTGTGTGCGTGGATTTGTGTGGATTTGTGCGCCAAAGGTGGGGGGAAAAGAGATTTCTTAAAAAAGTAGTGCACTCCTTGAAAGAGAAAGGTCCGATCAACCCGATCAACTGCTATCTCATAGTCAATAGTCTCTGTATCCTGTCATGCTTACTGTAAACATGCGACACACTCTGCAAAAAGCGCAGATCAAAGAGGTGTCGAAAGCGCCCGCCTTCGTGTTTTTGTGGTGATTCTAAATAAGTTCGTTTAAGATGTAATCTGCAAGCTGTATTCACACTGCAAGGTAGTGCAAGGTGATGTAATATAATGCGTAGTGGGGGTGGGGATTAAGTGGTACGGCACTGTGTCTGTGTCTGTCTCTGTGCCCGCACTTTTACAAAAGGAACATCTGCACGGCACAGTCGAGTTTAGTGGTCGCGGGGAAGTTTTCCCTTTGAAAAGCATCAAGGCTCAATTCTCTGTTTCACAGCGCTCATTGTGCATCATGCGCTGTTTGTTTCAGTGGTTAATGACACAGGAAGGGCCCTCCATTTTATTGTTGCTGTGTTGCACTTTTTCCCCCTCCTCGCCCAACCCGGCAGCCAGCCTCCTTAGAGGACTCTGTATGAATTCTCACTGTCATGTCCAAGGACGAGTGGCGCAGGGTCAGCTAATTGCTTTTATGATTATGATTTCACGTCAGATTTATCGTGCATGCTCGGAGCACATCTTCCAGGTCCTGCCGACGTTGCTGGCTTGGATGGGGGGGAAAATGAGTTTACAGCTTCTGGCTGTGACTTCTTGTTTAAGTGCAGGTCACACTTTTTGACTCATTAGAGTTGAACGCAGGGGGTGAATCACGGTGGCTTTTCCTGTAAAAGCCTCTGTTTTCTATGTCAGTAAATGTACTTGTTTTTCTCATATCTGGCCACAAAAGAGCATTTTCTTACTTGGCCTTCAACATGTGCTGAAGTTTGGAGGTCATGAGCGAGGAATGACACAGACAAAGATTTTGGTTTTTCTGTTGTTTGAACTTTTTATGAGCCATAAATCCCTCATCTTCGTTTCTGTTCGCAAATGAAATCATTACGCTTATTCCCCTGCAGAATGCCAGAATTATCAGTTGACTCCTTTTTGATGTTGGTGATGGTTCCACCCACCTCTTTGAAAGGGATGAGCACAGATGAGTCCAACCCATTTTATAAATTATTTTTATTTTGTGGCTTCT